CCTTGGGCTGCTTGTGGGAGACTTGGGACTTCATTTTAGGAAGAGGACAACAGAATGTCACAGAAATGACTTCCAGCTACTGTGGCCTGTAATAGGTGACCCATGCTAAGAAGGAACCAGTGGCCCAAACAGAGGAATTTAAATTTCATTTCAGCTCCAGGCTAGTCTTTTTCACAGTTTTCACTCAACTTTGCTGTTAGTATAGTGTAATTTCAGTTAGCTTTAAGGTGGTGGTCCTCATGTTAATTGGCCTATGTTTTTCCAAATGAATTTGTTTTATCCAAACAGTCATACAATATAGTCATTTCTTTCATTCTTAGTTTTTCTAATGCTAAGTTGTTAGAATACTATCAAACTAAGATGATCCTTCAAAGCTGTACATAATGATGCAGACTTGTAATCCCAGCATTTGGTGGTGGAAGCAGGGGGATCAGGAATTCAAGATCAACCTTGGCTATAGAGAGAGTTTAAGGCCAGCCTGGGCTCTTTGAGTTACTTCTCAACAAACAACAGATAGCTGACCTTTTTAGGGTACCACTTCAGCTACTGCTCTCCTCAAAGAAGAAGTTGGTCCTTCCTGATTCTATGATATCAGCCTGATCTTGAATCAAACAGCTCAATAAGTATGGTTTATATATTTCTCAGAATTAATTTTAGAGGGAGTTCTTTTGTTGGCTGAAAAGTAGTTAATAGGTCTCTAATGACATTAGTTAGTGGTTCTTTTTTTGATTATATGTGTTACGTGTACATGCGAATTCCTGAGGGTATGCGTGTGCTCCATGTAGGCACAGGAATCCTGGGAGGTCAGAAGAAACTGGCCTCACATTGATCCTCCTGCCTCTGCCTCCCCGAGGGCTGGGATTAAAGGCATGTTCCACTACTGCCCAGCTCATTACAAAATTTTTTTGAGACAATTTCAGTATGTAGACCAAGCCAGCCATAAGTCACAGAGATGAGCCTGCCTCTAACTCCCAAGTGCTGGAATTAAAGGTGTGTGCCACCATGTCCAGCACAATAAATTTTATTGGTTACTTTGTCATAGCCGTTGTAGAGGAAGATGCTAAGACCTTCTCATCATGCATAAACAACATGAAATTTCCTTTTCTTCAAACCTACGTGATCTTCTATACGTGGTCTAGTAAAACCAATCAAGAATAATAGAAATGAAAAGGCTAACCAGAAAAAAAAAGTTTCTATTTTTCTAGTGTGGAAATATATTATGTGTTTAATTCCTACTTCAGTCTAGAATCTCCCGTAGGGTGTAGGCTTTATTTTGGGGTTATTCATAAAAATCTTAAAAGATAAGTACTGACAAAATATCTTGTCTGTATAACTTAATCTCTTAGGGCTAGTGTACTTTCTGCAAAGGGAGAGAGCTGACCTCTACAACAGAAATTTCATCTGATCCTCAAACTCCACTCTAGAAGCCCTGGGTTTACTTCCACATCCCGGGCCGTGAGGATCAGCAGGAGCCCGCAGTATTGATTTTAGGCTGCTGAGAGGTAGCTCCCATCACAAATGTCCACCGACTTGGTTAGTTGCTGGATTTTATCGTTTGCCACTCTTATCTATCGGTACAGACACACAGTAAAGGCCGCAGGAGCATCTTGGTGCTAAGGACTTCCTATGGATTCCTCTTCTTCTGTACTGGAACAGCAGCTTCCTTACGATGTCACCCACATGCCCTTTGTCATTTGAAGAACATCATTTAAGGATCTGGTGAGGAGGCTCACTGGAGAAAGGCTCTGCTGCTGAGCCCATGGGCCAGATTGATCCCCAGAACACACGTGGTAGAGAAAATCCACTCTGTTAAGCTGTCCCTGGACATCTGCCCATGTACCCTGGCACACATGTGCACGCATGCACACGCATGCACACACACACACACACACACACACAAATGTAGTAGAATTTGTTGATGAATACAGCAAAGTAGTTTTTTAGCATAAATGTTGAGCTGTCAGTGACCATCAATTAATTTTAGGACATTTTGTTACCCTAAAAGAAGCCCTTGACTGTGTGCAGTACTTGCTCCCCATTTTCTGTCTTCATTCAGCTGGTGCCAGACATTAATCCACTTTTTATACTGATTGGAATTTGCTTATCTGAACATGTTGCAGAGACAGAGTCTTAGAATATGACCTTCTGTGGCTGGCTTCTTTCATCTAACATAGGCTATAGAGTTGAATATATCCTTTTAAATGTATGGATAAATGGTATGGAGATGGCATATTTTATTCATTAGAATTAGAAGTGGAAAGCTATTTAAATTCATTGCCCACTTTTCTTTCTTTTATTCTCCTGTGTGTGCGTGTGCATTTCTGTGTGTGTGGTGGATCCCAGGGGTTGAACTCAGTTCTTCAGATTTGGCAGCAAGCACCTTTACCCTCTAAGTCATCTTGCCGGCCCCTTTTTCTGCTTTTCAACTAACTTGTGGTCCTGTGATATATTTCCTGATGTGCTGTGTCTTGTCTGTGTGGTGTCAGTTCCCTTGTAAGAGAGATGATTTGTGAAAAAAAAAGAGGGGGGGAGGGTGCTGAGGAAATGGCTCAGTAGCCAAGACTGTTCCGTTCTTGTAGAAGACCTGAGTTTAGTTCCCAGTGTCTGTGTCTGGCAGCTGATGTCCCCCTCAGATATCTGCGGACTCTTGCGCTCGTGTGTTCACACCCCCTTTTCCCATTCAGGTGCACTCACGTTGAGAGACAACGCTGAAGCAGTGCTAGCCGACTCTGGGACTGCGGGGTCCGACGCTGGACTCTGAGTTCAGCTCCACCGTTCATGTTGTTCTCCTGCACCAGTGTTCTGCCGTCCTCAGTGCTTCAGCCTTCCAGTTAGCTGCAAGTGGGAAGTGTGAGCTTTCACGTTCGTCCCTGTTGTCTTGGCTACTACACATTTCTTAAGTTTCCATAGAAATTTTATGAGCGTTATGTCCATTCTGGCAAAGAAGCAGAGGGGAGATGGTGACAGCTCAAATCTTCCGAAATGTTTTTTCTATTCTTTAGTCATGAAGCCTGTGCCTGAGGAGGATGTCTAGTGTCTCATTCTATCATTCCCTGCCCTATTCCCTCAAGAGACAGACTCTCTCACTGAACCTAGAGCTACACTGGTGGCCAGCAAGCTCCAGACACTTTCTGGTCCTCCTTCCACAGTACCCTGGTTACAGGTGCACACATGACCACATTGGCTTTTTGTGTGAGTTGCGAAGAGTCGAACTCAGGACCTCATACCTACAACAGAAAGTGGTTTTACGCACAGAACCACTCACAAGCTCCCTTACCTGTGCTCATCCTTGTGCAGCCACTGGAGCTGCTGGGAGTTAAATATTCCTTTGTTTTATGCCATGTTTCCGTCCCTTAGCAAAGGAGTGTAAGGAAACACATATTAGAGCAGGCATATAGGCCACTAGCAGAGTGAGATAAGATTTTGGTATTAAAAAAATCAGATGAATGGTCAGTGAGGACCCGGAGTCACCCTCAGTCATCACTTTTAATAGGCTGTGCCTATGCGGTGGAAACAGGAAACAGGTGGAAACATGATTCATCTTCTTGAAAGCAGCGTTGACCCACACAGTAGTAATGCTTTCCCCACTCCCTGTACTAAGTCTGTCAAGCTTGTAAGCAATACTTGCACTCGACAGAGTAATGCACATATCAGTGTGTTGCTGAACACATCCTTCTGAGGTTTCCAGCTGCATAAGATGCTAAGGGCTTAACTGACCTTTTCAGAGTAAGCTCTATGCAACACCCAACTTACCTCAGAATCACTCTGAAGACTGTCACCCAACATGTCAAAAGCAGAGGGAGATCTAGAGTGAACTATGGGCAGAATCTCAGCAGCCAGGGCAGAGCAGGATTCGCCATGCAAATGGTGGGAAACATGGTTTCAGGGAGCTGTCCGCTTAAAACCCCGCTCGGAACATGGGTCCCATTAGCTGACTTCATGGCAGCTGGCTTGGTGGAAACATCTTGAGGATCAAGGATCCACTTGTAGCAAAAAGGCAGTAAAACTGCAGGAGTTTACTGTTCTGTATATCATAGATGAAAGGCCCGCTCTTCAAAGTCCGCATCCTACGGAACACGTCGTTAAAAGCCTACATTACAGGTGGTGTTTTGAGAGCTCCTTAAGACCACTGTCAAATCATAGGATTCTCTGCTGGGCTGAATGATACACACGGGCCAACATCTTCCACCAAAAACAAAACACCAAAAAGCCCCCGTCATTCCAAGGAGGGTGGAGGGTTCCTGAGGAATTTCTGTTGATGGTAGGTGTTACACAGAGAACTAGACTGCAGGTGACGCAGTTGTTAAAGGGTGTGCCTAGTAGCTTAAGGGTGGCTATGCAATGAGAATTCACCAGGGGAGCTACACGGAGGGAAACTAAGACCGGGCCAAATCACAAGTGCTTCCCTGGGATGGCTTTTCATAGCTCATTCTTTAAGTCCAGTCCAGTAAAGCCTGAAGACAGTATTAAGGTGCCAGAGTATTTTGAGTGGCCTGTCCCTCCTCAGAGAAATCCTAAGATTCCTGGATTAAAAACCAGTCAGCAGGCCGTGCATGATGACCCAGTCGGTAAAGTGCTTGCCACCCAAACGTGAGGGCCTGAGTTCGCTCTTCAGCATCTGAATGAAAGCCGAGCCCAGCAGCATGAATGAGGGATGTGGGGACAGGAGGGTCCCTGGAGCTCAGTGTCTGGGTAATTCAGTCATTAGTGAGCTCCAAGTTCAGTGAGGGAGGGTGTCTCAAATACAGTGGATTTAGGAAGATCCACAGTGTCGACCTTTGGCCTCCATATGTACTCCTACGCTGACATATGTAGACATGAATACACATACACACACACACACACACACACTTCTAACTGCACTGTCACATAATTAAATATTTTGTAACTATCTTACAAATGTATTCTCAGTAGTTTTTATAGGGTTACTATTCAACTATGAGGCACCTTAGCCATTAAATGACACTTAGCCATTAAAATTCTGTCCTTTCTTCTTGCAGTGTCTTGGCAGGTTACAATGGCACCATCTTTGCATATGGGCAGACAGGCAGTGGCAAGACTTTCACCATCACAGGTGGGGCTGAGCGCTACAGCGACAGAGGCATCATTCCGAGGACCCTGTCCTATGTTTTTGAGCAGCTACAAAAGGTAAAGAGAAGAAGAGCCCACATTTTGCTTGATCTATTCAACAGAAACACACTGTTGTGAGGAAATGTGATAAGGCATTCTACGCTGTGCCTGCAGGGGAATGCATGATTGTGGACTAACTCTGGCCTTTACACCTAAAGGTTAGGATTTTGCTGGAGAAGTAGCAACTAAGAAGGTGCTTTTCTTACCAGGGTAGGACTTCAGCAAAGGCTGGGGCTCCACTCAGATGCCTACAGGGTTTAAGGAGCAAATGATAACTTCTGTGGCGGAAAGGGAATAGGTATGATGGATGCTTGTGTGTCCGGGTGTGTGGGGATGGTGCGGAAGTTGATGTCGGTGGTCCTCTGTTGCTCTCTACTGATTTTTTTTTGAGACAGGGTCTCTCACTGAAAGTGGGCTTATTGATTTGACTGGCTGGTCAGTGAAGTCTGGGGGTGTCCTTCTCTCCCCCTCGCCCGGCATCAGGGTTACTTCAGTACACCCAGGACACCCAGCTTTCCACATGAGTTCTGGGGATCTGAATTCTGATCCTCATGCTTGCGCTAAGCCAGCTCTCCAGCCCCCATATGTAGATTTTTAATACAACGTATACGGTAACTAGCAAGTTTGGCATCTTCGTTCCCATTTCCTAGTTGGAAAAACTGAGCCTCTATTGAGATTTTTTTTTTCTGGGTCCACAGCTCTGTAAGCCAGGCTGCTCCCTTGCCTTGCCTCCACTTCCTCTGTAGCTCAGCTTGGCTTTGTTTTGTTGGCTGTGCTTAAACCCATTTCCTGTGATGAGTCACTTAACTTCTGTGGGTTTCTGCTTTCCATTTTCTGCAAGCAAGGACTGAACTGTTCTGGAGGCTCCTCTGTATTCCTTCCAGCTCCAGGAAGTCCTTGAGTTCTGTATAAATGTCTAACTGGGTTGTTGTAACAGTCACTCTGGAATTCCCTACTGAATGTTCTTTGCATTTTGAGCTGCAAAGACGAGAAGAAATTGCTGAGATCTGCATAATTCTAATTGCCATCCATAAAGCAGCAATTATCCATTAGTTCAGCTCTTCTCTCACTGGCCCAAGCGCGCCAACTGTGTGCACCAGAAAATGTGAAAGAGGGCGGGCCGAGTAGAGTGTATGCCACATCCAGAGCCCGGCTCCTCGTTTCCTCATGAATGCCTGACACTACCTGTTTTTCCTTGTTCACACATTTCACAGACAGGGGCTATAATGCCCAATAGTTTTTTTGTTGCTATGGAACAAAGCAGAAGGCTATCATCTTGAAAGGATGGGCAGGGTCGTGTAGGCTGTCAGGGTTCTGAGAGCATGTACCGCTGATGGCATGTGGCTCCATGTCTCAATGTCATAGAGTTGCTGTGAGGGTCAAACATTCTAAGGTCTTGAGCTGGAGAGACGGCTTAGACAATCAAGCGTGTGGCCCGCTCCTGCAGGGTTTTGTTCTGAGCTCTGGTATCAGGCTACTCACAACTGTCTATAACTCCATCTCCAGGAGCTCCAGTGCCCTCTTTTCACCTCTACAGACACTGCATTCTCAACGCACATACCCACACGGAGAAGCACATAATTAAAAATAATAAAAACAAATCTTTAAAGTTCTTTGGTTCACAAGGTATGCTTAGTTCGTGATCGCTATTACCATACCATTAATACTTACATATGCAAAATACTTAAGAATTGTTACCATACTCATTAGTATTCATATATGTACATGTGGCCAAATGCTACCTGACCAGTTTCAGAAAACCTTTTAAAAGAACTCTCAGAATCAATGAAGCCAATCTCAGAATCAGTGAAGCCAATTTCCTTGAGTAGCTTGAACAGAATGGATACATCCTCTCCTAACAGAAAGTATGTTTTGTCTCTTCTAAAATATTCTCTGTGGTTACCAAAGAACAGCCCTGAAAGTCCACCAAGAGTCCAGGGCACTGGCCCCCTATCAGGGTTGTTAGGAGATTCCTGTGTCATTGATGTCACTCTAAGTCTTGCTTAGTCTGAATCATTTCAAGTATTTTCCTGGAGTTGAAGAAAGCCCACTGGACCAACTGACAGCCAGGGAAACTGAAATAGACCAGTTTCTGCCATGGGCTACAACACGTTCATAGTAATCATAGTAGATTGTGCTAAAACCAGCCTGGCAACTTAAAGTGCCCATGGAGTGTGTCTATACTGGAGACTAGAAACACAGACTGTACCCAGAGGCCCCTGCTGATTGCCTTAGACAGGAGAGCTCACCAGGAGACCAAAGCCAAGTTTTCCTTGAAGACAAACCAAGGCCTGCAAGTGACAATGCATTTCCACTGGACTTAAGGATTCCATTTGTTTAAGAAATCACTTCTCCTTATGTTGAAGCGTTGTGAGGCTTGGACTTGTTTGGGGTAGACGAAATGGCTGTCTCAGGGAACACATGTGTTACATTACTGTCTGGCAACCCAGATGCTGAAGAGGACCAGGAAAGGTAGCTTGCCACATCACTCAGTGAGCTCTGAGCATGTGTGCCAGTCAAACTGCAGAAAAAAATGGAAGCTGGAGGAGCCAAGAACGTCAAGAAGAGAGTGTCTTCAAAACACACACGATGGCCCCAAGTCACTGTTCTTTTTTGGTACCCTTTCCTTTTATATTCTTGTATTGTTTTAGCTACTTTGACCGTGGCTGTGACAATACCCAACAAAAACAGTTTAATGCAGGGTTTGCAGGGTTGGTCTTGCCCTGTCTGAGGAGATAAGTGCACCAGGTGGGGAGAAGGTGGTGGTGAGAGCATGGTGTGACTGTCACACCACGGCCACAGTCAGAAAGTTCCTTTCTCCCCACTTCTTCTTCAGTTCAGGGCTCTAGCCCATCGGAAGATACAGTGCATATTCAGCGAGGGTTTCATTCCCCAGCTGTACAACCCTGTAAACCCCGTCACAGACATGCCTACCTGGGTGTCTCTAGGTGATCATAAATCCCAAGTTGACCACACACTTAGTTCTCCATTTGGAGGCTTCCTTTCTCAACATCAGTGACAACAGCAACAGCCACAGTGGTTTCTTGTTGCCCAGATGTTTTTGGTAGGACTTGAAATGTAGATATTCCTTTCTTGTGGCAGTTTTTTTTTTTTTTTCAAAATCAGGGTTATTTCATAAGTTATTAGTATGAAACCATCTTAGAAGCAGGACTACTCCAGCAGAGGATGGAGTTTGGTTTCCAGCACCCATCTTGTGTGGCTGACAACTGCCTGTAATTCTAGCTCCAGGAATCTGATGTCCTCTTCTGGCCTCTATGGGTAGCTCTACTCATGTGCGCACACACACATAAATCATTAAATATTTTTAAAAGAATTAAAATTCTGAGTAGTAAGAAGTAAAGGAAAATGAATTATTATCAAGACTAGAAACTCCTTTGCTACTGAAGTCTTTGAACCAAAGTAATAACTAATCTTTGCTCTTTTATGAATAGGCTGTTCACAGAATGATGCATTATTCAGTCCTACAACCAACTTGGCCCACTACAAGTGGATACTGGCATTTTATGTATAATGTGGATCCAATAAAACAGACTGAAGTTAACTTGTAATCATGGATATTGGCTATTACAAAAAAAAATTAAAAAAAAATAAAAAAACAACCCTTCATGCAGATGGCCACAGCAACTCGAAAGTGTCACGAACTGAAAATGTAAACCATATAACATGGAAAGGCAAAGGAGGGATGCTATGAGGAAAGTCCAAAGACAAATGGTGCATCTCTGTCTAGCCAAACAGTTATTTTTAGTCATTAAATAATGCCTTTTCCTTCTCCAATCAGGACAGCAGCAAGATCTACACAACACATATTTCTTACTTGGAAATCTACAATGAATGTGGCTTTGACCTGCTAGATCCAAGACATGAAGCCTCCAAACTGGAAGATCTGCCGTGAGTAGCAGGATAACAAAGACCAGCAGGAAATGATTTTCAGATGTTTTGTTTCCATTGTTTCTTTTGAAATTCGCTGTGTTTCTGGTCTCGATCATAATTAGCAAATATTGGATAACAGCATCGTTCTGTAATGAGCAGGAATGATGGGAATTAAGATTGCTTGGAACGCATTTCTTAGGGGAAATCTCTTTGGGAGTCAGCGTGAGAGTGCATTGATGGTCTCAGCGGGCATTTGGATTTAGGGGCAGCGCTTCGCCCCTGCCACATGACACCCACATACTCCTTTAATTACACCCTTCTTCCAAAAGCACCATTCCATGTATGCAGCAGTAAGATAATCTGAGAGAGAACGTCAAATTGGAAGCTTTCCCTCAAATGCTTCTCTGCTGTCATTAGCACTGACATTTATAACCCTTTGATCAGATCAGCACTAGCTGTTTCAGTGAAAGGCACTCTTCAAATCTGTTGACAGAGGATGTTCCCCTGCCAGGGTCACACAGCGTTGATATTTGTTTGAAAATCTGCCTGAGTTGATGTAGTAATTGGTAATCACTCATGTGCTTATTTCCAGGTGCTTTTGTGTATTGGAAGTTGCCTACAGACAAGAAAAAAAATTGTTTTAAAGATTCATTTTATTTTCAAGAATGTGTATGTAGGAGTGTGTGTGTTGGTGGGGGTGCTATGTGCACGTGAGTGCAGATACCAGCAGAAGCCAGAAGAGGGCATCCAGCCGCCTGGGGCTGGAGTTACAAGTGGTTGTGAGTTGCCTGGCATGGCTGGTGGGAACAAAACTTGGGTCCTCTGGAAGAACAGTATGTGCTATTAATACTCAGCCATCTCTCCATCCCCCAAATATATGTATATATTTTTTAATTTTTATTATGCTTAAAATATATTCTAAAATAATTTAGAAATACATATGTATTTTCTATAAAAAGATAACTAATTGATTATTGAATATGCAAGTTTTATATCCAATAATCAAGTTGTTAAATTAGTAAAATACTTTGAAAGAAATAATAAAATAATTCATAATCCATATATTCTTTCATTAATATTGATTGAGGTGTTTCATGTATCACCTTTTTTATTTTTATAAAATTGCAAAGTCAGGATGGAGTCAGGAACGAGAACAATTATTTGTATTATAAATATTGGCATAACAGTGAAGAGAGAAGAAAGATACCAACTCTATGGAAGAAAATAGCTTTAGAAACTTAGGGGACTAAAGTTTACTTTTAAAAAAGGCAAAGCTTCTTAGTGGGGATAGGAATAGCAGTATTAGACACAGGGCATGGTTGGAAAGGTTCTGTGTTTATGTATGTTGCATGATACCAAAGTTCCCATGTCAAACCCTAATCACCTGTGTGATGGTGTTAGCAGATGGGGCCTCTGCATGGGTGCAGGTCATTGAGGGACGGCGCTGCTCAACACAGCTGTTGTTTTTATAAAAGAAGACCATGGGTGCTAGTTTGGCCATTCCATAATGTTGAGGACTCCAAGGCAAGTTGGTAGCTTATCATCCAGAAGAGGGCTGAGCTAATTCCTTGATTTTGAACTTCATGATTCTATGGCTGTGAGAAATATTTCTTTTGCCTATAATATGTCCAGTGTATTTACTGTCCATGCAGCCCAGATGCACTATAGCAAGGTAGCAAGGTATCATCTGAAAGAAATCCCTGAAGCCACTTGAACCAGTTTGAGGAAGGGCTTGAATGTCAGGCTTGTCATTTGAGGTTCATTTTACTTCTGATCAACTCTTTGTTTTATAGTCTCTAGGATGACCTATTCATCTCCAGGTTAAATCTTGTTTAAAATTGTTTTCAATATATTTAGAAGGCAGTTTGATACCATGTCCATTTATCAAAATAACAGTAATACGTTTACTTATTGGACCTATAAGCTATGTAGCCCTGGGCTCTTGGCCAGGTTTACAGTGGACCTCAAATCCAATTAGAAAGCCTTTGGTTATACCCATAACATTAATGCCACTATTACACCCATGGGCTTACCTTGCCAGAACATTCATAATTGTAGCTAACATGGATCACAGCTGAATAAGACTGCTGATAACTTTTCTCCCCCAGCAGCCTGTATAACACCTTCCAAAACTGGAACAGCTAAGCAGCAGGGGCAACGCTCCCAGGTTACCCCAGCGTGGTTTCTTCAAGTCCTGTGACCGGAGTGTGGTGTCTTCAGCAGTCGGGTCTTAAACTAAGAGTGATGGCAATAACTATCGTTTTCAGTTAGGCTCATCAAGATCCAGCAGTTTGCAGCCTCTGTGCGACATTCCAGAGTGAAGGGATTATCTCTGATAAACAGAGAGGAGAGATAAAACTGAGATGTTTGCAAAAAGGAAAGAAAAGAGGTATAGGAAGAATATGCAGTAAGGTGATCCAGGTGGATCATATGTTAAACCTCAGATCAGACTGAATGAGAACTGAAAGGCGAACTGCCAAGGGTTGGTTTTGTCATTGCTGACCTGGGACCTAACACCCAGAAAGGTTTGCTTTAGCCAGCGTTTGAGAACAATTAACTGGCACTTTAGCAACAGTTGAGATCCAGATATTAGCACTTTCATGCCAGAATGGTAAGAGGGGTTTTTACTCACTGGGGCTATGAGAATTAAGGAGTCCATTAAAAGGATGTCCATCAAAAACTTGAGTAGGTGACAGTGAAGACTTTTGCAGATGGGGCTTCAGGCCCGCCATACCACACTGCGTGTGTATATATTTATATTAAAGCCATTGAGGTGGGGTGTAGAGGGCAAGGAGTATGTCTCACTTGGCGTAGTAGTCTCCCTAGTGTCGATGCCTTAATATGCTTAAAATGTATGGGTCTGGAGAAGTGGTTTCTTGGTCACAGTGCTTGCTATGTGAGTATGAGGACCAGAGTTCAGATCCCCAGAACCCCCACAGACGGAGGACAGTTGTGCTGACCTGCCTGTAACTCAGAAGGCAGAGGCAGGATCTCCAGAGCAAGCTGCCTAGGGAGGCTAGCCATATCAATGAGGTCTAAGTTCCATTAGGAGACCCTTCCTCAGCGAATAAGGTGGAGGAGCAATGAAGGGTGATTCCCAACCTTGCACACACACCATGTGCGTGCACACCCTCATATGGCAAACATGCATGTGCACACGTAAAACTGGGCAAGGGGAAAATTATCTACTAGACTGAAACTAAGAGGTTGAGACAGCGAGGGAGAAGAGGAGGAGCAGGGCCCGAGCCATGTGCATGCACGGCACTGCACAGGATGAGAGTCAGTCGGTGTGAGCGGAGGGTCCCGCTCCCCAGTGACAGAAGGCACAGGGTGCTTCAGCAGAAGCCAGAATCTTCAGAGTAGAGCCACAGCTAGTCTCAGACAAGTCCTTTCCTCTTTATACAGTAGAGGCTTTGGTCAAACACTGTTCATCAGTCTTATAATGTCTAACATCTAGAATTCAAGAATTGGTGATGTTCACAGCGTGCGACTTTATTGGTGATTTTTTACCACTTCACACAAAAATAGTGATTTGGATTTTTTTTCCTTTTTTTTAATTCTTTTTTTTTAACTTTTATTAGTTACACTTTATTCACTATGTATCTTCCCATAAACCCCTTCCTCCTTCCCTCCTAACCTCACCTTCCCTCCCCCTTCTTCACGCATGCCCCTCCCCAAGTCCACCGATAGAGGAGGTCCCCCTCTCCTTCCTTCTGATATTAGTCTATCAAATCTCGTCAGGAGTGGCTGCGCTGTCATCTGTTTCCAATCTGGAAAAGAACAAGGGCAATGATTCCATTCTTCCTGTGTCCTCTGCACCCCTGAGTATATTTGGAATTTAGCAGTGACCCTGAGTGCTGATCAGGTTGTTGCTAGAGATGTGAAGGGCTTGAGAGGCTGTTCTTCAGTGGCCTTCTTTCGTCTTTCGCTTCAGTGTGGCTGCTGATTCACCCAGACACACAGAGACATGCACATGCATATAAGTCAATAATAAAATAAAAATGTGAGACAAACACACATACACATATTATACCCACTACAAATATTAATGAAATCAGTCACAGACCTAAATAGACAGTTCCAAAGTAAAATTCTAGAGACAATATGGAAGGAAATCTAGGTAAATCTGGGTTAGGAAATGAGTATTTAGATATAACACCAAAAACATGATTGGTGAAAGGAAAAAAATACTGCCTAGGTTGAACTTCATTAAAATTAATTTGTTTGTGTTGTTCTGTGAGAGTCTCTTTTAAAAGAACAAATAAACAAGCCAGGTACTCAGAGAATGACTACAAACACCTATCTGATAACGAATTTATATCCAATGCTCTTCCAGAGGAACTAAGTTTAATTCCCAGGTCTCACATGTACACTCACAACCATCTTTAACTCTAGGAGATCAGCACCTTCGGCCCTCCATAGGCACTGCATGCACTCAGTACACATACATAGATGCAGCCAAAACACAAATACACAAAATCATATGGCTGTAAAAGTGGATTTAAATCCATTAATACATATAACAATATGTATACATACATATATATAACAATAACTTTGTCAGTCTAATAACTATTGTATATATGATATATAATAACCCTTAAAATCCAGTAAGGATAAAGCAACAGATGATTTAAAATTGGACAAAAGATCTCACCAGCCATGTCTCTAAAGACTAAATGTGCAGATGAAAAGTTAGCAGATGTCAGTGAGCCCAGCAACATCTGTAATTAAAGAAAACAACAGTGAGGGGCCACTGTGTACCCGAGAGAGTGGCTAAAATCCCAGAGTCTAACAATACCAAAGGCTGGCAATTGTAGAACAATGGAAATTCTCACTGCTGGTAGCAATGCAAAACGATATGGTCATAGCTGGGAGATAAACCAGAAGCATCTTACAAAACCAAACACCCGTCACACAACCTAGTAGCCATGTGCCTAGATGTTTACCCAGATGAGCTGGAAACTTAGGTTCACACATAAACCTGCTCACAAGTATAAAGAGAAGCCTCATTCATA